ATAGTTAACATCATAGGGATTTTGCCCCAAATTCTAATATAGAAATTGTGCCGATCTTATCCGGATCAGCAATTAAAACAAATTATAAAACAAATAATTATATATTGGTATCTCTTTTTGATACTCTTGACTTCTTTTTTTTTTGAATCTATCTTTGTATAAAAAGCTTTAACTATTAAATTAACTATAGAATTGCCACTGATTGTTAAAGGCAAACCAAAAGCCCAGGCTTATGTATAATTTTCTATTTTATAATCGGGTTGAGTACCCTAGTATGAAATATTTGAGGGCTTAATAATATTCTTGACTAATGATCAAATCTCACATCTGGTTTTCCATCCTATCCAAGCATCAGCCAAGCTTAGAGATTACCTGTACCCTAATAGGTCCACTGTTGGCTTGACTTAAGGACTTAAGCATTAGGCAAATTTAAAAATCACCTGTGCTAGCTCAACTTAAAGACTTGAAACGTCAGGCAAACTTAAAGATCACCTATGTCCCAACACTGGTTTTGTGGCTCGACTTAGACTTGAATGACAGAGAAACTTAAAGATTCCTGCACGCCACCCTACATTTCCAATAAAAAAGATTTTACTTGCCTTTTATATTATATTATCATAAAGAAGCTGTGCTTTGTCACGCCTCGCCCCTTGCTCATGGTTAATAATGGTTTAAATAGACAGCGATCTTCAGTTGGAAGTCACTTTTGTTTAGAGTATGCCTTCGATTAAAATGTTCGTGTGTACCCATGATATTGTGAAGCAAAACGAATGGTGAAAATCTTAAATTTTGGGAATTTATATTTTGTGCTTTTAATCCTTGATATGGAATATTCACATGGTCGCGTATCGGGATTTTGTACAACGTGGAATGGTATTTGTTCTACTATATTATAAAATATATCAATAATTATTTTTACAACGCGTATAAATGGCGAAAGTTTATCTTTATGGCGATAATCTTTTAACTTTACAAACTTTATTCGCTTTTTAAATATTATTGCACTAGCGATATACCATTGCTTTTACTATACTCTCGATTACGGAAGATTCTAGTAAGGGTATCTAAGCCTTGTTTCTTCGTTTGTCTGAGAAGCTGTCAGTTATTACTATCTTTGAAAAAAGCCGAATGCTGGTCTTTTTTGGAATATGTGTGGTTTTTAACTATCCCAGTGACGTTAACGGCTTTCGCCGGCGAGCCTTATTACTTTCTAAAAGGTTTTACTTTTTTTATCAATATTGGCCGATCTAGTATTTTTAGAACTCTAGCTTACTTATCCTTTCAACTTTTTAAATTAGGATAAGACATAGAGGTCCTAATTGGGGTGGGTGTGAAATTTCCGGTAACAATATTATTTGCCATGAACGGTTAGCTATAGTTGGTGTTGGTACGTAAAGAATTTTTGAATAAAATAATTTGATCTTTTTTTTTTTCTCTCTTGTTAATGTATTTTTCACTTCGTACCTGTTTTCAGACGGTAATTCTCAACCACTCACTAATGATGACAAATCCATAATTCTTTCTGTCAATGGAGAAATTTATAATCATAAGATTTTGAGAAAAACAACTTAAAAATGGTACACAATTCAAGACTCGGTCAGATTGTAATGATCAAATTTAAAATATTTATCTATTTTTCGTCTTAAATGATCTAATTTGACTTCCTATTTTTTGATTTAATAGTATGCTGAAATAGGAATTGATGTTGTTAAACGACTTGACGGGATGTTTTCCTTTGTCCTTCTTGACACGAATAAAAATCGATTTATTGCCGTGCGTGACCCTATAGGTATTACTACCCTTTATCAAGGTTGGTCATCGTCTACGACAAGATACTATCAACCAGGGACACGGAAATTATGCGATTTGATGCCACTGAGAGCTGTCTGTTACACAAAAATTGATATGAAATAATTAGTAATTGTGTGATTTGATGCAGTTTGCCATGAATGCACTTAAACA